TACGCAAATAGCCTCTTCAGCACCGTGGCAGATTCAGCAGCTAGACGCTCCTCGAAAATACGGCATTTGGCCACCTTAGCTGCCGAACACTAGTTCCCTATTAGTCGGTATTCATCGTATCCTGAATTCGAAGTACGGTAATGCTTCCAAGCACGATTTCTCCTACGGAGCGTGCTTTTAAGCTCACGATCGAACCAGAGTGGTCCCATGGCATGAGGCTGGCTCCTGCGTACCGGGGCGAATTGTTGCACTAGCTGTAGTAGGAAATCTTGGATGACACACCACGACTATTCGACATCTTCTTTGTCGATCGGCTCCCAGTTTAACAACTGCGCTGCGGTACGCATGTCATCGAACTGTATCCGTCATACATTCCGTCCCTCTGGGGGTGGTTGTGAGAATCGGGTCCCTCGTCTCCAGCACACAATCAACACCACATGATCACTGGCACCAAAAGGTGGGAGAAGCGGGATGTTGGATACGTCCGAGGCACGAGGAGTTAGAACAAGATCCAGTGTGGACAACTGCTGACCGGGACTGCGGGTGGGTTCCTGCACATGTTGATGAAGGGCGAGTTCACAAACTGTTGAATGCAGTTCCCGCGACGTGATCAGCAGACGTGGTGTAACAGTTTGAGGCCCAGTCAATGTGTGGTGCAGTGAAGTCTCCGAGCACTATACAGTGACCATTCGCAGCCCAACGCCTCATGTATTCCAACAGTAGTGGACATTCCGATGCGATAACTGCCGGCTTGCGAGCGTGAACAAAAGCTTCAATTTCATCTCTCTTAAGTAGACCGAGGACATTGGAGAGAACAATGTTCGTGTTGTCCTCCATTTGTTGCTCTATGATCCGTTCATGGCGCGAACCACTGCACTGTATGTGTGAAACGGAGGCCATTTCAGTTGCAGCCTCTTCCTGACAACGCGAAAATCCCGAATAATTAAATTATCCTCTCCTTGGGATTGCCTTTCACGAAGCTCCATAAGTGCATCTTTCAACCTGGAGCGCTCTTCAGGCTCCAGATCACGTAACAGTCGCATCGGATCGTCTTTCGGACGGTATGAGCGACGGAAGACCTCCTCGGCTTGGGTTTTGGCACCGAGAACCATCTTCAGAGGACGACGAAGGCCATTCTCCTTTAGCTTACCCAGGCGAAATGCTGCCTTACGCGTGATTTCATTGGCTACGGTTTCTTCGCCCTTAAATACTTTTTCGAATATAGACATCAACTGGCAGAAATCGTGGTTCAGTTTCTCCAGAACTAGACCCCGCTGGGGCCTCGGGTAGGTTCAGTGCTAGAAAGCACTGGTTACGCTGAGGGGCATTTTGTTTTGTGGCACTCTACAGTTTCATCCACTTCTCCGAGGTCTCCGATGTGGCGCGCGACAGGAACCTGCAGGCGGTCCTCCTTTCTTTGGCGCATGTGTTGTGGTGCTAATCGTCGGTGGTGGAACAGTGGTCGAGCACCTGTCGTCCCGGACAACCATCGCAATCCATTTCTCTTCCGTTCTTTCAGACGTTGTGTACCTGCTGAATCAGAGCGAATTGGGGTTGAGGCAACCGGCAGAGGAGCACCAGCTGGTCTGAGCTGGATCACGGTGGCGTTCAGGTCTGACGGCGATGAAACACACGTATGTCGCAACCTGAGATCTCGACAGAACCGAACATTTTGTGCACAATTTTCAAAAACTTCGATTTACACCACTCCAGAATACGATATTCCACTATAGTGATCTTAGAACATGAGAGGTGGAGTCACCCATTGCAACCCTCACACTGCACACTTTTGTTACGCGGACCAGCAACTCGCTTACACATCAAACAATTGGCTTTTTCCGTACAGAAAACCATATATATGAATTTATGTAAATCCGCGAAGAGAAATATACAAATCCACAGGGACTAAAGCAGTATTCCACAGTAACTTCAAACAGAAATGATCTCAACGGTACACGCCTGTTGTATCGCAAGAACCTAGAAAAAAAACATACGGAAGAATATTTTTAGTACTTTAAGGAGCTTTAAATTATTGTAAATGCACAGCAGTGCGCAAAAAATCTCAAAGAATTACATCATCTTTAACTCTCCGGAAAGTTGCTGCAGTCGGACAGGACAGGTTACAGGACTTACGGAGGAGCCGGGAGCAGTCCAGTTTCTTGCACCACTGAGCTTGGGAACACCTCGGCGCTGCGACAATTGTGTTATTTCAAGTGGACGTGAGTGAGTGCGGTTCTGGAAAAGGAAAACGCACTTCTGATGGTTCCTCGAAATGACAGTACACGTCTGAGGTTTTGTCAGGATCAAAGCAACAGCTCGCAACCCACCGCTCCGAGCTACCCAGAGTAAGAGATGTGTTGTGGAGAAGAAACATGACCTAAAAGTGGTGGTACTGGATGTTGAGAAGCCTCAGTAGAATGTGGTGAACAGTGAATAAAAATGGAGCTGAGGGAGTTGGAGAAATCAATGTGGAGTGTGGGGTAAGGAGTTTATGTAAAGAGGGGGACGGAGACGGACGAGCTATTAGCGACCTTAGGCCCGGTGTCAGGTACAATCGGGGAACATTGATGCCCAGGATGCGTCAAGCTTCAGCTTGAACTCGGCAATGGTTTTCGACGCCACTCCCGCCTGAGGCAGTTTGTTCCATGTATTAATTACCCGGTGCGAAAAAAGGTGGCTTTCAGGCGTTTAAAAGCTCGAGGCTTGTCCAACTTCATGCTGCGTCCCCTTCTGTTGGGTACATCGTTCCGCTGAAGTAGGTGGGAGATTCCATGAGAGAAACCCCGTCAAGATACGGGTTTCAATCAGGTCCGCCCTCAGCCTTCTCCGATTGAGTGAGAACAGGTTTAGTCCTCGAAGGCGTTCGGCATATGTCGCTCCCCGAAGGTGCGGGAACATGCGCGTGAACTTCCTCTGCACGCTTTCCAGAATCTTTTGGTTCCTCTTCAGAGCTGGGGACCAAGCTTGTACACAGTACTCTAGGTGCGGCCGAACGAAGGCCATGTAGAGCGGGACTAACACAACAGGGTCCCTGGACGTCACTGTGCGCCTCAACCTAAATAACGCCGTACGTGCCGCAACAAGACACTGGGCAGAGTAGTTAAAAGTGCCCCCTAGGTACCTGATCTCCGGCACTACTGTCAGCCTCCCCATCTCGAGCTCCCATATAGCGTGGCCCAGCCCCCTGAGCAATCCCGCCTCGTAGGACCTTACACTTCGCGGCATTTAAAGGGATACCCCACTCTGCAGGCCATGCTTGCACTGCATCTAGTTCAAGCTGGAGTTCTGCACCCTGGTGCGAGCCAAGTAGTTTAACATCGTCTCCAAAGATGAACCTCGGGTTTGATAGACGAGGGACTAGATCATTGATGAAGACAAGAAACAATGGTCCAAGGACCGAGCCTTGTGAGACCCATTGTAAGCATGCCCGCAGTCCGACCAATCCCCCTCCACCCTTACGCGAAAGGTTCCCTCTGTCAGGTAGCTTTCAGTCCACCTGACTAAACTAGGGTGGATCCCTATGGATCCTAGCTTGCCTAGCAGCAACCGATGGTTTACGGAGTCAAAAGCCTTACTGAAGTCTAGATAGAAGACTTAGACTCCCTCCCCCTGTCCAGTCGCTCAGTCACAACATCCAGGAAGGCTAGCAGATTTGTGAGGTAAGATCGGCCTTCAGGAAACCCGTGCTGAGCCTCCGCCAGCAGACCGCATTGGGTGAGGAACCTGGCCATCTTATCCCTGATTAACCTACCCATGACCTTTAGGATCACGAAGAGTAAGCTAACGGGCGTATAGTTAGTGGCCAGCTCCCTGTTATCCCCTTTGTGGATGGAGGCCACAGTAGCTATTTTGTAGTCCTGTGGCAATATGGCTGTTGCCATGGACAGATTGAAGAGGTGAGTTAACGGGGCTGCCAGGATACTTCTTAGAGGCCTAAGCAGTGCCACGTGGATTTCATCTGGTCCTGCCACTTTGCCCCTATCTAAACTGACCAGGATCTTTTCCACCTCCTTCGGTAGGAAAGTGATTTCCTCCATCAGCATAGATCCTGCTGGCTGGTTAATGGGTAGCAGGATGCCCTCATCCTTCATATGTACACTCTGGAAGTGCTCACTTACTTTACTTTACTTTACGGCGGCTGGCTCCTGGGAGAGGATAAGCCGGCTTCATGGATATCTCGGAATGCCGCTGCCCACGCTCAGCGATCTGCAGCAAGATCAGCGCATATTGTGATCCAGTTTGACTTCCATTGGCGAACGCCGTAGATGGAGCGGAGGCGGTATCCTTTCGCACCGTGTCGAGCCAGGTTTTCAGCTGTTCACCGAGCCGACATCGCC